AGAGAGAGAGAGAGAGAGAGAGAGAGAGAGAGAGAGAGAGAGAGAGAGAGAATAAAAATTTGTGTGTGTGTTTTTACAGAGAAAAAATAGTTGGAGGGGGATTGGAAAAGGAGCCACAAGAAATAAAACTACGCAGGTAACAAACAAACAAACAAACAAACAAACAAACAAACAAACAGAAAAACAACTTTGATATTTAAAAAAATTAACTGGGTTTGTTGACTTCCTTCCGGCCATTTGCTCCCAAAAACCAATATCAAATTAGTAAGGACTCACTGTGACTCACGTTTCATTGTTAGAAATATTGCAAATTGTTAATATATTGTGGTGTTACCTGTAACCTGTCTGGAAATATGAACAAATAAGAAGTAAAGATTGGGTTTATGATATAAGTAAACTAACAACAATACTGGAGGTTTCGGGAGATTACAGACCGCCTCAGGAAGATTCTACCCTTTTCTTTCCTTTTTCTTCGCTGTTAATGTCTTTCTTTCGAGATTTTTTTCCACGAATTGCGGTCGTTTTGTACCGATGCATCTTTTGTTCAGAGAAAAAATATAATGATTTGTTTCTTTCTTGTTTTGATGTTTTGATGTTTTGATTAAAAGAATAAAACACTTATTTTTAAAAACGTTGTTCTACGTAACCGATCATATGCTACATAGGCTAGTTACCGGCTTTGTAAAAGTGACACCCCCCCCCCCCCTAATTCTTAAAATAAGTAAATTAAAATCGCCAACAGTACATCACATTACGGCTAACCATTATTGCGGCCTCTCATAGATTGGACACCCTGGATATGTACTTCATTCGTGAAGTGAGTACCGAATGGGAAGCTTAAGTTTACCTTTACCTCCGGCGTCCGTAATGGTTAGGCTCTTATTCTTTGCGCTTATAACATCTGGGATCGATTCTCGTGCGCGCGCACGCGCACGCACGTGTGTGCGCGCGTGTGTGTGTGTATGTGTGTGTGTGTGTGTGTGTGTGTGTGTGTGTGTGTGTGTGTGTGTGTGTGTGCGTGCGTGTGTGTGTGGGGGGGGGGGGGGGAGTTATGGGGTGGCAGTTTGAATTTCGAAAATCCCCACTCTTCCAAGGTCAACCTTCATGACAGGCTTACTTTATCTAAGTAAACTACCAGGACACAGGCTCATTGTTCCAGTTTTGTGAGTTTTGGTCTTGTTTATGTTTTTAATGAATAAAATATTTAAAACATTTTTTTTTTACTGTGTGTGTGTTTGTGTGTGTGTGAGCGTGTGTGTGGTTGTGGGGGGGGGGGGCATCCTTTGTTATTGATTCAAGGTAGCCATTTTTTAAATTATAAGTGCAATATATCACTCCCATTCAATGAAAATGATAACACCCATAATCTTGGAGATATTTTTTAGTCCTCGATACCACCCATAAGTTATTATGTATCACTACACTTATCCATCTATCTATCTATCTATCTATCTATCTATCTATCTATCTATCTATCTATCTATCTGTCTATCTGTCTGTCTGTCTGTCTGTCTGTCTGTCTGTCTGTTTGTCTGTCTGTTTGTCTGTCTGATTGTCTGTGCAACAAAGGAATACTTTTTACCCTACAATATGTTAAAAAACACAACAAACAAACAACCCCCCCCCCATCAAAAATTGCTGTGTCCTTGTTATGCGTCAAGGATGAATGGGAGGATCATGTACGATCTGATGCTATGATGCGATTAGTATACATGTTTATAGCAAATCTACTGCGTGATTCCTGCTTATGACAAATCTCTTATTGGCTGTATAATTTTCTGTTTCAGTCAAAGCCTGAGCAGCAGAAGTCTACGATGCAGATCGAAGAAACATCTGCCAGAGCCACAACGTTTTTTCTTGCATCGGTGAATTCCATATGTACCGGGTAAGCAACTTATACTTGTTTTTGTTATTTTTAGTTCTTCGATTGTATTAGCATAGATAACAAAACCTTCCAACTTACTTTGATTTGGTCGATGTGTAGCTGTTGTTAAAAGTTGGAGGATTTTTTTCATGACGCCAAAGGTAACAATCGAGCTTCTTGTCGACTTTGAGCACTTTGACCTTTTTGTGAATGGTTTTTTTTCTTCCTCAGAACACGGTACTCAAACGATAGACCGAATGAATACCCCGCCTTCTTAATTACCTAGATTCAGTCAAAATTTTCATTTATATTCCTGTCTGTCTGTCTGCCTGTCCGTCAGTCCGTCTGTTTGTCTGTTGTCCAAGTTTCTCTCTTTAAGTAGGTATATTATATAAAGTTCGTCTAGCATAGATTTTAGTTAAGGTATCAAGTGTAGTCAGTAGAATGTAACTGTAACTGTGGCTGTGGCGTGTAACGGTTAGACCCTTGTTGATGCACGCTCGAAACACGAGTTCGATTCCTGGAGATGTTATCGAGTATCTTCGACCGTTGTCCCGGATGGATGTCGTTAGCCACTCAGCCGGGTTGGCCCTGAGAGGTAGGGTCGATCTCCCCCCCTGGTCGATGTAATTGTTGTGTGGATGTGGGCGTACTGCTTCTACAACAACCTGTGTAACAGGAGCGGTATAATCGCACAAAACTGTGCGGACTGAATTATTGGTGGACGACTTACGTGTGGCATTTTGCCGAAGCTTTTGTGGAATATTTTTTACGTTAAACGCCTTCTTTAAAATGTCAAATTAAGAAAAAAAAAACTTTTTTTCCTCGTTGGTGTTTGGCGGGCTCTCTGGTGTCTTTTGCTCGTTCTTACCTGTCAAATAACTGTTGATCCTTATCTTCCCCCCTTCTTTTCTTTTTATTTTAGCCTCTCGTAATGCTTCATATCTTAGGCACTTATATGACCTATTTGTGTTGAAAGTGCCATTAAACTCTTACTTAAACATCTTTATCCTCCAATATTTTTTTCATCTCTTAGTTATACAAACATGTTGCGTTGAGTGATACCAAACAAGTTTCTCGCCACAACCTTGGAAACCTGGCTATTCATAATATGTTGATTTTAAAAAATGTAACCTTTGGTGCGCCATTCCTGCACGTGGTTGGAGGGTACTTGGCAATTCCTGCTTCTTTTCTTTCCGTCTGCACGTCCTGGTTGTCTGTCCTGTTTTCTCTTCGCACGAAATGGCTGTAACCGGGTCGATTTTCTACTCTTTACCAAATAATCTGAACGCATTACCAGCCACCCTGTACCCACAACAGACTTAATGTTGACTGAAAATTCATATCTGTTACAATGAAGATGAAAATTATGGGGGTATTTTGTCAACGTTTGTTCTGAAAGAGTCAAAGCTCGACATTCTCTATAACTTCTCCTTTTGACATCTTCTATGACTTCTCCATTTTCCTGCTAGTGTTCCCCGCGTCCCACCCCGGAGAGGTGCCACTAACTGAAGTGTCTTTAGACCCTTCCCAAAGGGGGACATTATCTTGTTTTTATGCACAGTAGAATTGTAAATTATAAATGGGCTGATTCAACAATGTCAGGCTCTTAACTGTGCCTGAAATGCAACAGGGAACTGGTGCTTTTTCTTTCCTAATCCTTACTACCGTCATTTTTTCCTCTATTTCTTTTGTGTGTTTGTCACTGTCTTGTGATCCGCTATTTCCGTGGTGGCTTGATATTCGAAGCAGACTTTGTGCTGTAAAAGCTAGAGAAGTGAGCAGAGTAAGCCTGATTCCCTGTAAAGACATCTCTGTTGACATCCACCCCTTGGCGCTCATATAACCTTATGCAGTTGTGAGCTCCGTGAAACCTCTACTAAATAAGACAAAAACTCGCTTCTTTAACTTCTCTATGCGGGATGCTGATGCTAAGTGGTACAGTGAAAAGTACAATATTATATTTCTCTTTTTGCTGCACCTTTTGGTTTTGTGAGCGAACCCATGGGCTTGGCTAATATTTGCAGATACCAGGTGCTGGGAAGTGAAAAATAAAAGTATTTTCAGTGACCTTGGAAACATTCTCAAAGCGAAAAATAGAAACTACAGATATAGAACTTTGTTATGTAGGTTATATTATAGTTATTTGGATAAGGTGTTCAATTATACTATGCTCAACATGGTATACTTACGTTCTTTGGAAGTAGATATTATTTTGATGGGAAATCAATTCTGTATATCTGAAAGAATCCGTTCATCTTTGGCGGGTCGGTTGCGATCAGTTAATTTTCGAGTTGTTTTTTTCAGGTAGAGATAGTGTTTATTTTTGTCTTTAATGAGGCAAAAAAGATCTAAAGAAATCTATGACGCCAGCGTACCGACAAGCCATAGCTAAGAAACATTATTTTCGAGGAGCTAACTCCAAATTTTGCGTACCTAAAAGCTCGGGAAATGAATGATATAGAAAAGCAGTCGGATAACACTGACAATAAAGCCCAATATGGGTTGTCTGTAGTCGTAATTCTTACAAGAATAGGCACTTGTTTTTATTATTTTGTGAACTATTCCCAAACCATTTAACGTAAAGCTAGATTCAATAAAGATTTTACCCGGCATGACACAAATAGAATTGTAAAAAAATCACTTTCTCCGCACCTCGCTTCTCGGCTGCTGAACGTGTCCATGACGTCCACGGGCTGAGATTCCTCTGTAAACAGTTTCGTCACCTATAGCTATCTAATATATAATGTTGCAGCAAAGGGAGTGTTTCATTGGTAATATAGCGGTAAGTATCCCCGTCTGTCACGCGGGAAACCGGGTTTCGATTTCCCGCCGGGAAGGTTTTTCTTATTGTTTTTTTATATTGAGAGAGAAGATTGAGACATAGAGAAAGAGAGAAAAGAAGATAAACAGACAGACAGATAGAGAAATTATGTTATTGATTTAATATAACATGAACGAAGGTGTTTTTATGCAGCCTGCAATCTCTTCAATAATGATTTAATACTGTTTCGTGCGAAGGAAGGAGATTTTACTAGAATTCTAAAGTTACTTGGAAACTAGGTCACATTTCTGAACGCCCTGTTACTGCATGTACTTTTATAAAGGGTCATATCCCTGAGGTGCTGCTTTGTCGTCTGCGATGTCAGTGTAAATTAAGCCTCACAAACTTGAAAGTGGAACGAGGTGAGCGAGATACTGAAGGTATAGAGGGAAATAATTATAATATGTGTCACGACGTGGTGGAATCATGCGCTCGTCAATTTTTGAGTTATATGAAGTTATAGATACCATCTTAAAGCTTATTTATTTGTCTTGCGTTTGATAAATATTTGAATTCAACTTGAGGCAATTGATGGAAGGGGGGTCAAAGTGGTGTCAGAGGTAAAATTAGCAAGAAAATGACTGCCAACGTTTAGTGACTTCTAAAGCTTGAGTGCTATCGGAAACTGTAAATTTTCTTTTTTTTTTTTTTGTTGGTGCCATTATTCAACGTTTTTCCAGTAAAATCCACTTAAATATGGGTTTTTAACACGACATTAAAGGTGTTAAGCCAGAAATAAAAAGGTAGATCTAGGTGTCTTCCAGCGAGCAGAACAATAATGTCTGCAGTATCTTCGAAATCATTTTCATTTTCACGAGCACATGATTTCACCACAATGCTTCTCGAATGGTTCTCTATTTTCACTTGGTGAAGATGTGGTTACCATTAATGGACCCAGTGTTTACGAGGGAGGGCAAGTGTTGTCACCCTGAAGGCCGAAACAATCTATTCATAATTGTGTAACTTTGAACTCTACGATGTAAGCTGATAAACAACGTGCGTGACGTTGCATTGTATCCGGTCTCGTCGTACCTGACCCACCCACACAGGTATGTGTGACTGACACTGGGATGGCTTACCGTGGCTGACGGGTCTCAGCTGTTATAAACATACGTACCTTATTTCATTATTTAGCAATCCGGCAGTCCTCTCGTAGACAAGCGGCAGCCTGACGTTGTGACGTCAGTTTTGGCCTTCGGGCAGGTCAAGGCTGCTTGTAAATCTCCGTCCATTTTACTACAACTTATTGCTTGGACCTCCACATTGGTGTCTGTGACGTAGAAGTTAGACTCTTCACTGATAGATGCGGATGATTTGTTCCCTTTCTAGAATGTAGACGTTTTGGAAATCACGTACCTCCGTCTATCTGACGGGATGATATAGCCCACTCAACCGCGGTTGGCTGTGGTAAGCAGTGTTGAACTGACCTGTCAACTTAGTGTCAATGGGGACGCAATAGGTTTTTAGAGTTACATATTATGATTATATTGTAGGTGTACAAGCAGTCCCACCATAATAATTGGTCTTTTTTAAGCACAAGGGGGCTATCCCGAAAAATGCTGTTTTGACAAAATCGAAGGTAAAGTTTTTGCCCCTTGTTCAGTTTCTTTAAAAGACGAGGAGAGTTTTCTCTATAATCGAATAAATATACCACTGAGACTAAACTTCTCCTATAGGTAGGGCAATGCTCACTTTTGGTGTAGGTTAAGATATCTGGAAACACCCGAAATCTGGGTTAGCCAGCTTGTCCTTAAAAGCGACCAATTATCTTCCCTCAATAGTTTCAGACTTCGCGATAAACTAGGGGGTCAATTCCGTCTGGATGGTGGTAGGGACATTCAGACCGTGAAACTAGTCGTTTGACACATGTGAAGTATTCAATCGAATTGTTCAATGTCCTGTCAGGCCGAACTTTACTGAAAGCGTGTGAAAAACTGATATACTTTCCAGGGCGTGGAATTGGAAGAGAGGTATCTCGAGGATTAAAAAGTCAGTAGGGATAGTCTGGACGAAAGGCAGTGTCTTTCCATATCGCTCAATCGGGAACATGTTACTTTTTTTCTGGTTTGTTTCGAGGAGCAATGTTTCTCTGCAAAGTCTTGATTATTATATTAATATTTGACTGTCTCGATATATGTTATCTTAACGGTGTCATCTTTGAATGGTTAAAGTTTAGGGCAGATTTTATGCTAAGTTT